GTGGGTTTGTGGAAGGTGTTTTTGACTGTGTGTGTGTGTGTGTCAGTGGATGATGGAGTGTAAGGGTGTATTCACACCAGGAAAGTCCGCTTGTTTACTTGCTTTGGTCCGGACCAAATACAATGTTGATTTTTTTGTTTGGTGCAGTTCGCTTTCACACTGCCCGTTTTTGCAAGTGATCCATAAATTGTAAACAAAACCACACGTGTGCTAAGGTCATTCATTCATTGGACAAAAATTCTCAAGCAGGGAAAACAGGAAGTGCAAAAACAGGCTAATCATGGAGATCTTTCGTGTGCAATTTTTATTTTTTAATGATTTGGTGTTATCAGATACTAACACAATATGAAGAAAATTATGAGCATCATATGAGACAATGCCATACGATGCTGTAATTACGACTTGCCGAAAATAAAATCTACATATATAAAATACTTAAAGCATATCACAATGTTAGTTTAAACATTTAACCTATATAAATGTGCGCTATTAGGTGCATATCCAATCGTTTGTGCAGAGAGTGGAAGCTGAAGCGCGCTTCAGGACATCAGTGGAAACAAATTAAATACGACGTCATTTTTGCTCATACAGGTAAGAATAATACATCGGAACTGTAAAGGGTCTATTTTTATTTGTGTGCACTCACAATATCAAGAAAACGTTGTGCTTTTGTAAAATAAAGGAAACAAATAGGATGCGCTTGCCGTCTCGGTCTTGAACAGGAGCGCTTCACAAAAATGCACCGAAATTTAGCGAATATTTTTCCTTACAGACATGATGAATATATCTATAGAAAGCTATAAATTACTACAAAACAAAATAATTCAAATCCAAAACAAAAACTCTTATTATTATGTAATTCAGATGCATTTCTTTCTAAAGGCACGTCCAATGATGAGATGGCGAGTCAGGATCATCAACTTCATAGCGACACTGACTCATAAAACACTAGTTTATTAATAAATAATTCAAATATCTCCTTACTATTTTCCCCTAACGTAGTCATGGTAATTTTTGCAGCAAGCTTTAGCCTATTTAGCGTGCTCACGTCACGTTGCTGTGCGCCATGGTCATGAAAATTCATCATTTGCATGTGTTTTTAAGCATTGTGGTTTAAAAACAAGTGATTTAAGCCATTGAAACGCAAATAACAGCACTATATGCGCGAGCTGTCTGTTTCTGAGCGTGATTTCTGCAATTGGGTCGGATCCAGGTCGGGTCATATTCACACCTTAAATGAACCATACCAGAGTTCGTTTGGAAGTGGACCGAGACCACCTTTTCAGCTGGGTCTCGGTACGGTTGTTTGGTCCGCACCAGAGTGCGATTGGTGTATTCACACCTGCCAAAAAGGTCCGCACCAAGAGGGGAAACAAACGATTCAATCGAACCAAACAAGACAGGTGTGAATACACCCTAACTCTTATCGGGACTGGAGATCAGGTCTCAGTAATTACAGGGTGGAACTCCAGATGGTGGCTGTTGCTGAGGTAACACATTAGCTGGAGTGCCATCCTCCTCTAGATTGATTAAATAAACACAACTCAGATCTGTGAATCCAAATCACTGGAGCTGTGGCACAAGTGTTTCTCAATTAATTTATTTATTGGCAGAGGGGGTGAGTGGAGTGGTACAGGGTCATTCTCTGTATGCCGTGCTTTTTTTATCCCTGTGGAAAATCATCTCAGTGTATTGCTTCCAGGAGGATTATGTGTTAAGTTTAGAGATATATTTACACAAAATATTGCAAATATTTGAATTTTTATTTTTAAGGCATTTTAATTATTTTCCTATCAGAGGAGACAGGATTTCCCATGTTTGCAGATGCTGTATGTCACCTTACTTAATGAAATTCTGTCAAAAAATCTCTTCTGTCAAAAGATCTCTTGAGTGAAGTCTTTTTTTAAAATCCTTTCTTGCTTTTTCCACAACATCTCTTTCTGTCTGTCTGTTTTTCCATCCATCCCAAGTGTTTCTCAATTAATTAATTTATTGGCAGAGGGGGTGAGTGGAGTGGTACAGGGTCATTCTCTGTATGCCGTGCTTTTTTTTATCCCTGTGGAAAATCATCTCAGTGTATTGCTTCCAGGAGGATTATGTGTTAAGTTTAGAGATATATTTACACAAAATATTGCAAATATTTGAATTTTTATTTTTAAGGCATTTTAATTATTTTCCTATCAGAGGAGACAGGATTTCCCATGTTTGCAGATGCTGTATGTCACCTTACTTAATGAAATTCTGTCAAAAAATCTCTTCTGTCAAAAGATCTCTTGAGTGAAGTCTTTTTTTAAAATCCTTTCTTGCTTTTTCCACAACATCTCTTTCTGTCTGTCTGTTTTTCCATCCATCCATCCATCCATCGTTCTATCTATCTGTCTGTGTCTGTCTGTCTCTGTCTATTTTTCCATCCATCCATCCATCCATCCATCCATCCGTCCGTCCGTCCGTCCGTCCGTCCGTCCCCAGTCTCCAGTGTTTCTATCTATTGTTCTATCTATCATTTCATCCGTCCATATAAACTTTACAAATCTATATACTGTATACATATGCATACTTTGTGTGTATATTTGCACTGAATTTCATTGATTTCATGCAACAATTAAATGCACTGCAGTTAATATTTTTAACAAATAATTTGTTCTGATTTCTGTTTCTCTTTCTCTTCCAAGCACCATCACACAGGCACTCACATATTTTAGTCACTTTTTAGGTGACTAATGCAAGTGAGCTAATGAATGTGCTTCAACCAAATAACATTTAAAATGTTCTTCTTTATTAAAATGCTTTATGTAAGAGACAAAAAAATTACCTATGCTTTTTTTCTGGTTAGTAAAGTGGGTTTTTAATTCTCTGAACCAGGCATGTTACATTTACCTAGAAATGTTTGTTCTTTTGATATAAATTGGTCTATTAATTTGAGTGCTGAACCTGGAATGAAATGTACAGTAACGTTCGCAATGGCCATCCAAGGTAGTTATCCACTCCAGTTATGCATTAACCAGTATATAACAAATTATTCAAAAGACATTTAAATGTTCTGGTCCTGTGAGCCAGTATGAGTTTAATGTCTAAGCGTTGCTTTATCATCACAATTAACCTTGATGTCCGGCAGCGAAATGGCCCTAAAGTACATGCACACACATCAACACTGTTAAAACGCCCTCATGGGTCTCACTAAAGCTTTGTGGCCAATGGTTGTAATGTTTGTGTGTGTGAGTGAGTGTGTGTGTGTGTGAAGGTCAGGTCTGTAGAGCAGGTAGGAGTTTCAGACTCTCCTGAGGTCTTATGATCGGTCCGTAAATGAGATCCCACGAGGCCCAGAGAGCCCTGTCGCCACTCGCTGTTGCTTAGCGACCGTTCCCACGGCTCTGAGGGTGATATAAGGGAGCAACGGGCTGCCCACTGACAGTATGTGTGTATGAGATGACCTGGTTAGTCTGTGAGTGTGAAGGACTCTGTGGTTTCACTCCTGAGGGAGTTAAATAAGGTTCTATGGTGCTAAAACTCATTAAATAAAAAGAAGGAAAGAGAGGAAAGAACAGCAAAGGAGAGGTTGATAAGTTGTGGGGTCACTCCAGCTTTTTAAATGACTGCTCTTTCAAGTATTAATAAGAAATGTGCTTAATTAAAGTCTGGTTGTTAGAATAGACGGAACTTGTGCGTCTGCATGATTACAGTTCACTGAAGAGAGGTCTGAACACCAAACACACTGCTAATACCTCATAAGAAATGACCTTTTAAAGAAAGTGTGCATTAGTCATTCTCACAATGACTATTTCTTAAAGTCGAGGAAGTTTGTACGCTCTCCGCATGGCTTTTTGACGAGGTGCAAGTCTGTCTGACATCTATGCCTTTTTTACCATTGCCGTCATTAGCCGCATTTATATCACATTATTACTGCTGCTTATTAATGTCCGGTTTGCATCTGTCTTTGAGTACTCACTCAAGTAATATTTTAGGAATTTTCATAATTGCTTGTCATTCAAATTAACTATTAATTGCTAAATTATTATTATTATTATTATTTATCTTTCTGTACTACTACTAATGCACTACAGTAAGTAATAACTTGCATTATATAGAAAATACAGTCTTTCTGTATTAATACAGTATTTTTGTGCATTGTGAAATATTTCAGACAATTATGTTAACTTTGAATTTGTCAAATCATGGTGTAATTTCAAGTGTTTCTTGTTGACGTTTTTAATACATTATTATGTTGCAGTCAATGCAGTCTTTATTTGTAAAAAAAAAAAGTTCAAACTCATTATGTTGTGCTTGCTTAATTTTTGCATCTGAATGTATTTGTGCTGAAATTAACTGACTTGTTAAGCTTAATTGATTAAAATGATGCTCATTAATCATGAGTATCCCTTATACTCACATTTGGCAGTGACACTGAACTGAAGCTGTGAAATGTTCTGTTATCAATTGCACTGATTCCCCTGCTGAAACAGGAAGAAATCCCCAGCAAGCTTTTTTATGTTAACCAAAGGGAGAAAGTGTGGGGGCAATATATTGTTTGCCAGTCACATTGAGAATTGCTTTTTTATCGTGTTCTTTCAGGGTATATTTTACAGTGATAAGAGTTGAGACAGTGGGGGGATTGAATTCTCTTCCTCTCCTGGCAAGCACTCGGTCACTTGCTGGACAATTTCCCACTGATGCAGAACTCGCTTCGTTTGTGTTTGGAAAGGAGTCACTAATTTGTGGAATTTGCCAGCTGACTTTGCTGGCACTGGACCTTCTTGAAGAAAGACGGAGGGAGAGAAAGAGAGAGTCCTTGAAAGATGGAGAAAAGAGAAGTTAGATAAGAGAGAAATATATAGGAGAAGAGAGTTTTGATTTAGTGGCGACTTGTTCACACTGCAAAACATGCCAAGCCTTGGAGTCAAAGCTGAGATTTCTCTTTTTACTCTCCAAACAAACTGCCACTATTCCTCTGATAATAATCATAAGATCTGTTTTTTTTCTCACTCTCTTTCCCTAATCTGTAGCTCTATGTGAAGCTGCGCTGTGAGGACGCACCCATGTTTGAGCATACGGAGCAGCTGTTAGCAGAGCTGGGTGGTGAAGAGCATGGGGCTGATGATGATGATGATGATGATGATGAAGCTGGACCGTATTTAGACAACATTGAGGATGATTTTATTCAAAGCAGTGATGATGAAGAAGATGCAATGGATCACTGACTGAACGTTTCTCACTCTTGTTTATTCTAACTGTTTCTATGGACTTGTCCAGTCAGAATATTAAAGTGAAAGCAGATGGCTCAATCTTCAAACAGTCTCCTAGTTTCCTCTGTCTTCTCTCTCCTTCCCAGTTACTTTCCTCCTCCCCTTTCTATTCTAGTTTGATATGCCAGACTAAAGCTGGGATGTATTTTCTGTTCGCCTTGTTTTTTGCATGCTGGGACTGCGAACCATCAGGACATCTGTCACAGTGATCTGGACATTGATCAAGATTGTGTTTCATAATAACTTGTACTGTTTTATAAGTGTTACAAAGCTTTAACAATGTCAAAATAAAAAATAGAAATAAAGGCATTTTAATTCCATAAAACACATACATCCATACAACATTTCATATTATTTTATTTTATTTCTTCTAGTTTTTTTTGTTATTGTTTTGCATAGCTTTGTTTTAGTTTTTTTTACTTCATTTTTTTTTGTAAACAAACAGCTGAATGCCAATATACATGTTTATGCTTATTTGCAATGATGATGATGATGGTGGTGTGAAAACATTGTCTCATTCTAACTTCATTATTACTAAAGATCTTGCATGGATGTAATCAGTCTTAATCCAGAATCTGCACAATGAACCTACTAGCTGGAAGACATTTTTGTTAATGTCATTCCCCTAATGATAAACTGAAGGATCATTTTGGTTATGGCTGTGCAGAAATAGTTTTGTTTATCCTGATGCAGACCCCAGAAATATGGTATAATAGTGCCACCATCACAATACATTATTCTAATGAGCCTTGATGTTTGTTTGTTTTTTCTTTTCCGATGGTGTCTGTCTGTCTTCCAGTCCTCACAGAAAACTGTCCTTATGAACTGCCTCCGTTTTTCCCATCAAATATTTCAGAGACACTAGAACAAGCCTCCTGAGTTCAAACGAGACATTTGGTTTCATTTTATGAATCCTAAGCAAATCTCATAATCTGATCACACGAGACCTGCCAGTTCTCAGCGCTAATGAAGATTCTCAAGTTTTAATTAAGCTTATGGACTTTTAGCTTCTCAGAGATGGAGAGCTTGGATGAAATGTAGTCACATTTTGACTAAACCATCTCTCCTATTTTTTATTTTACAGCAAAGTTTCATGTAACTCTGACATATGCCCATAAAAATGAGCATAATCCCTCTTATACATACACTACAGTTCAGAAGTTTTGGATCAATATGATTTTTTTGAAAGACGCCTCTTATGCCTTCCAAAGCTGCAATGTATTTGATTGATAACACAGTAAAAACAGTAATGTTGTGAAATATTACAATACATTTTTTTTTTCTATTTTAACATATTTTAAAATGTCATTTATTCCTGTGATGGTGAAGCTGAATTTTCAGCAGCCATTACTCCAGTCTCCAGTGTCACATGATCTTTCAGAAATCATTCTAATATGCTGATTTGGTGCTTTTCTTATTATTACCGTCAATGCTGAAAACAGTAAATCTTTACTTCCACTTTTGATCAGTTTAAGACATCCTTATTGAATACAGCTATTAAAAATCTTACAGACCCCAAACCGTCCAGAACAGTATACAGTAGTTTATTATAAAAGTGAAAATTGTGATTACAATATGTCTAGAGACATTATACCGTGTTTGTACTGTATATTGTACAGTTAATTCATGGGAAACAGCGATGAGAAGGGAAATGATAGAAAGCCGAGCATGACTGTATGAATGAGAAACATTTATGCTAAAGCATGTCAAGGTTGAGATATCATATGTGTACTGATAATTCAGTGATATGTTTAATAATTCCTGAAAGACAAATGAATGTGCTGGCTGCAAAATGGATGAAACCTCCTTTTTATTTTGTTCTTATGGAGTGAAGGCCGTTATGGGAAGATTATCAAGATTAAGCTTTGTACTGGTCGTGATTTCAATTATAAAGGCATGTCATCCATTTACCCTCAGGATTTGGCAGCACAAAGCTTAAATGTCATAAGACTTGTCACTTTTTGATCATGACACTGTGTAATGGAACATACTTGAATCAGACAAAACCAGCTGCCGTTTACGCCTTTATATTCAGTTGTCATCACTAAACAAATTAATTTTCACTTTCCAGCAGCTTTCCTGTCAATTTTATGTTTTTTGAGAGAAATGTGATGGCATGCTATGCCTTATGGGTAATATGTTCCCTTGAGTTCTCCTCCTGTTTTGTTGACTCGTCCCCTCATCCATCGAAGGGTCGGTTTTACACTTGGGCTTTTAGAATAATGGAAAGGCACTTAAGATGGCAGCACGATTTCCACCGGGGAGAGCAACATGAGGAAGAACATTTAGAACATGTTAAATTGCGTTATGAAATAGGGCTGTAGAGTAAAAGTGTCAAGGGCAAAGCTACTGTTAAAATCTTTCATCTAAGCTCAGGTTTAATGTCTATTAGGCTCATTCTGAGGTAGGAGTTTTTACTCATCTGGACAGAACTGGGCTGTAATGTGGCTTCTTCCACAAATGCGGTACACTTTGGTGGCCTATGACTTTGATAAAAGCAGTAGAAACACTAACACCATGCTTTTATTCTCTGACCTGTTAGATATGTTTGATAATGTATTATCTAACATAAAATTTACCTAGCATGAAAAGTATCTAGTTTTAGAAACTGTAAAATAGAGGCTTTGGCCTTCGGCTGTATCGGACAATAATTGTTTTTTGACCCCTCAGAACTCAGGCCAAGAAATCACCTTGACCTTGAATCTTTAAATCAATTAATCTCTCCCCAAGTACGGAATCTAGGTGTGATGGTAGACAGTTGCCTCAAGTTTGACAAGCAGATTAGCGCGGTCATTGGGTCCAGCTTTTTCTTTCATCGTTCTCTATCGAAAATCTAATTATTTCTTCCTAAGCGCTCCTTGGAGATTGCTATCCATGCTCTTATTACCTCTAGCCTGGATTATTGCAATTCCCTCTATTTTGGTATATCTAAGTCCCAGTTTATTCTCTGTTGCTTTTAGTTTATAAGAGTGTTCTGTTTTAAAGGGGTCATATGATGTTGCTAAAAAGAACATTATTATAACAACAATATTTTGTTAAAAAAATTAAATAACAGGCATTTATATTGTCACTGTATTAAAGCCAAAGTGAATTATCTGGGAAATATTTACTTTATTTTATTTATATATATTTTTTTATTTTATTCTAACTTGTACAGCACTTTGGTCGGCCTGTGGCCGTTTTTAAATGTGCTTTATAAATAAACTGAACTTGAATAAAATCTAAGCTATATATATATACTGTATATGTGTCACGGTCAAGGTGTGTGGAGGCAGGCAGGATGACGAGGACGACAGGGATTCAAATAAGGATGTTTAATGTAGAGACAACAAGGCAGATACGGGTAGATGAGCCCGGAAGGTGCGTCCTTGCCCCGTAGATACAGAGGGAGGGGCGGAGGGGGACTAGGAGGAGGACAAAGCAGAGAACAGTCCACAGGGGTGTTACAATATGTATATGTATATGTATATATATCACTAGCTGTAAACCAACATTTAGCCCCAACCTAATGCTAGCTTTATTTAGGCTAATTTTGCAACTCTGATACCATTTTTTTTTTACCATTCTAGCCTATTTTTTGCATAAATTAGGGTTCACAAATTCCAAATTTTGGAATTGCAAAAATGTGCTGACATGAAGGAATGCAACATAAAGCAATTTGTATATAATTTAGGCACTTTCGCACAATCGACACTTCCTGAAGGTTTATGAAGGGATGGTTCAACCAAACCAATATATATATATAAATATTCTTTTATGTTCCACAGAAGAAACAAAGTCATAGAGTTTTGGAGCAATATCAGGAGGAGTAAATGATGACAGAATTTAAATTTTTGGATGAACTATCTCTTTTAGCACCATTTGTTGAAAAAAAAAAATATATATATCAGGCCTTATTTTGTATCATACTCGTGGAAAGTGCCATTTGTGGTTTTCCCTGTTACTCGTCACCATCACTGTACAGCCGTGGGCTATATGGAAGATTGAGTAGAAAGGCTGAAGCACATTAATAACAACTCCAATGACTAATGAGAGCTCGGGTGGAATAGGAGATATTTTTGGTTTCGTGTGAGAAACTCCTCTATGGTGTACTGTATAGGGTTTACTGGCTGCACAGCCTAATACGCTAACTAAGTGAACATGCAGCTCATTTAATAAGAGCAGAACTGCATTAAAGTACAAATGTACTTTATAAAGCTCCTTTATAAAACTCAACCATATACTGTACAGGTAATTAATGGTTTTGCTAAGAGGAATGGAGCTTGTGTAGATAAGGCGTTACTGTATGGATCTTAAATATTTTATTCTTGGTGCTCTATCAAAAACAGCAATAGCTTCGTCTTTGCTCCTGGAAGGCATGAGAATGGAATTGAAAAGAGAAAGCGAAAATCTAATTATGCAGTCAAATAAAAGTACTCTTATTAAGCAGAAATTGTTTAAGAGATATTCTTTGTTTTGTTGCAAACAGATAATCACTCTTCAGTATCCACAATCAAATTATGTTGCTGTTGTTTATTCATTGCCTCAAGTTTTTAATTTAAAACTGCGTTTGTTTTCAAGAGAACAGGGTTTTGTTTATAGCTAGGAGTCGAAACATTGATGGTAAGTGTAGATCAACTCTCCTTCAATTCAATTCAGCAAGCCGAAGGCTTCTCTAAGAAGTGAAATAAGTGGTTTTGAGGCTTACGGCGTGCCAAAACCTCTTCAAACTAAAGCGACTAAGTAAGTGGATACAGATTAAACACAGCTGAATTTCAAGTGCATGTCAACCAGATGCCTCCCAAATAATCTGCCTCATCTCTTTGAAGAATTCACATTCGCTGTGTGGGAAAATAATCTCGGAGCAGAGAGGTCCTGGCACAGATTAGCCTCTGGCATATTGCAATCCAAAGAACACAAATAGAGAAGAAGCCAGGCTTTGGAAAGGTTTTCTAGGCAGTTTGTCCTCAGATAAATCTAGATAGAGGGATTGTGGAAGTATAATCCGAGTACCATCATGAGCCCTCCTAACATTCTCCTTATCGGGGCTCAGGCTGCGCACCCACAGAGGCTTTATTTCCTTACAGAATGAGAGACAAACAAATGTGACCAACGTCACTGAGGTAGCGCAGGTTCCAGCCGAGCAGAACTTTCCAATTACCTGATACACAGGCATATAAACAGAGAGTTAGC